GATGGGAGCGAAGGCCGCGACGGCACCGATGATCGTGGAGGAACGCATCGTGGGATATTTGGTTGTGCGAAGAGGTTGTAGAAGTAGAAGGAGGTCGTCGAGTGCGTTCGTGTCGGTTTGTAAGGAGTGTATTAGGTGAGTCCGGCTCGTGAATCTGGGGTATAGTTTTACGAAGGTTTGTAGAGAGCAAGAGCTTTGAACGGCGAATCGCTATGGGGCGCATCGCATCTAAATACCTTTCTACACATCACGCACTTGTTCGAAGAGCTTCCGTTGTTTCGCAACCTAAGAGCTGTCATCGCGTATATCATCTCCTGCGACAGTCAGCGCATCCGGATCTTCAGCCTCCGATCCACTGTGGCGTCTTGCAGCGTCGCGAACCAGACAAACTCTCGTGAAACAAGCGACTACAGGGACGATGGCTGTCGATCTCGGGGTGAGGAAGTTTGGACGGTGTTCGAAGTTGGTTTCGGTCGGAACATCGATCGACGCCAGTCCGTGCATTGCCGAAACGCCAAGGCTGAGGTTTGCAGACCGTCGAACCTCACCTCTTTGCTCCATCATCACTCACAGCTTTACTGACGGCGAATCCATCGAACGGTCATTGCCATTACTTTACATGTGACCTTTCGGATCTCTTCACTTATCAGCTACGGGTGAATGACCCCACTCTCTCGCCTGCGTTCGCTGCTGCCTTTTTGCACAATGCGGATACCGTGACATGACACGCTTATCACCATCCCTCAGCGAACTACCAGAATCAACCAAACCCCAGAATCCAACCACCTCCAGCTTCAAGGCGATCATATCCCTGCCAAACTAATCATCAATCATCGCCGCGAACTCATCCGACATCCAGTACCGATCAATCCGAATCTTCACGATGAGCTCCATGTGCTCTGGGCTTTCGTTCCAAGCGTCAGGGCGGTACGGGTAGCGGTAAAGCGTGTTCTGTTCGAATGCCCACCTCAGGTTCTCTGCCCAACCGCTTGCATCTGATGGGTCTGGTTGGTCGATACGGTACAGCGGTCGGTAAGGCGGCTTGTGACGGGGACCCCCGAAGGCGTATGGGCTGTATGGATCGGTCTCTCCTGCTTGACGTCCGAAGAAGAACGCCATGTTCATCGCGTCCCCATCTTGTGCATTTGCAAGTGCCGTCTCCCATGGCACAACTGAATCTTCTGGAGGCGCGGCATAACCTGTTCTCTCGAGCTCTCTGCTGGCGCTGGCCATGATATCGTCCTCCTCCTCCTCTTCTTCTTCCTCTTCAGCAGATTCCTCAACGGCAGGCTCATCGTCAAACCATACAGACTTTCCCGCCCTTCCTCTCAGCCCTTGCATCTCATGCTCAGTCTCTGACTCTGGCGTTATGCCCTTGGGTGGAGGGACTGTTTCTTTCTGTCTCCTAGATACTGGCAATTCTTCTGTTGTATCACTCTTCCTCTTTCTCTTAGCATCTTTCTTTTTCTTGTCTGGCACGAGCGGAGCGCTGGTTGACGCGTCTTGAGAAAGAGAAGGCTTTATACCAGCCCAACGTTTGGAAGCAGCGCCATCGCTATGTTCTTTTCGAACAGTAGCTGCGCCTCCCACAAGCTGCAATACCTTAGCATAGTCGCGAGGGTAGAACCACGGCTCGTGCGGATTCTGCACGCAGTACTCCACCATGCGAGTCAGATCCAGCGCATCATGGCCCTGTGGCATGCAGCTCAGGTCTATGGCTAGCTTCTTGAAGGGTATGTCTGTCGGAGGGCTTTCGATATTCCCACTAGGTGGTGAGAACCCTGTAACGTCGAGATCGGCATCGTCCCAGGTCGACTTTCTCTCTTCGTGGAAGCTACCATGCGTCTGGAGCCGCCAGTCCTTGTACCCACCTTGATCCATCGTCTTGTAGATGCTCTGCCGGCAGCTGGCCTGGGCCCACTCCTTTGGAAGCTTTCTGTGGGCGTTCACGATGGCGCTCACCGTGTTCGGAACCGCGCCGTTCGTAATCAGGCGGTACACCACGTCAGCGCAGTGTATGCTGTTCGGAAGGAATGCGAGGAGCTCTACGGCGGTAATGCTCGCGGACGCAGGAAACGGGAGGTATCTTGAAGGCGCGTCTGGTCCAAAGCCGTAGCCGAAGTACTCGATACGTGCTCTTGAGTTGGACTCTGATGCGTTCTCAGCCGGTCCTGGGGCTGACGCCGTTGACCTGCCGATAAGTTAGGAAAGTGTGCCTATTGTGAGACAACTGGCAGTCAGTACGGTCGCGGCGGATGATCCATGGTCAGAGGTGCATGTATGGTGTTTGCGGTGGTGATGGGAATCTGCACGTGGTTAGTAGAGTGTGCCTCGCGCTTCTGTTGTGGCTGTCGCTACATCAACGAGAAGGCCACTCTACCCGGTCCGAGCGTCCTTGGAGCAACTTTGCTCGACTCCGCCGTCACCTGCGTCTCCGAAGTGCCAGCTTCAGCCCACGACAAGGCTTGCAGGGTCTGCTTTCGCAGCCATTGGAGACATCACGCATCGATCACTAGAGACAAAGCGCAGCGAGACTTCGTATCGTCTTTGAAGACTCTCACACTTTCACTTTCCAGTAAGCTATCCTCTGCGCATTCGGCCACCCCTCGCAACTTCTGTAAAAGGCGATCTTGCAGGCTCGCCTGCGCATCTGCCGATCTCGTCCTGACCATCAGATCAGTCGATATGGCGGCCATTCCTAAGAACAACGCCTTTGGCTATCACAGCCCAAGCTGGAACCTCCCCTTCCCAAACGGCAATCTGACCGCCGCCGAAATCCTTGCCTACCTCCCGCATTGGCTCAAATCCATCGATGTTATCGACCGTTTCGTGACACACGGCGCGAAAGCTGGCCATCTCGCTGCTATGATCAACGAGTACAGAGACCAGCCGCTGGATCAGGATTTCCCACCGAATTCCGCCATGATCATGATACAGTACGCCATGCGACGCGCCGGCTACGACGATTGGAAATTCGGTATGCATTTGGAATACAACATTGGAATTCCGAGGCCTGAAGACAATCTCAACGTCCACGGTTTCCGTACACCTAACCGGACTCACCCTAAGGACGTGAGGACTGGTACACCTGGACAGGACAAGGTCAACTGGGACTCCTCGCCGTTGGAGTTCAAAGACCTTGCCCTCCATGTGAAAGAGCACCCGTGTGGCGATGACGCGCTGGACCTCACTCGCTGTGTGCAATACGCTATTGAGCACGAGGAAGAATCGTGGCTTTTCCCCACCGACTTTCCACGCCTCATCACTCACCTCGGAGGACCGGCCACAGTCACTCACAATCACTACGATAAGCAGGTGTTTGCCCGTCACAGCAACTACGCCTTTTCACCCGCCAAGTCTACACCCGGTAAAGGCCGCGCTCCTAGAACGCCCAAGACTCCCACATCATCCAAGCTCAACAACAAGGTCAAAGCTTCGCGCGGTAGCAAGAAGAAACTCTTCGACGACATCGAGCTGGTCGCCATGTCACGATCGGCGACACCACAGAAGCGTACAGTTGAGGGCCTGGGAAAGGTGCTGGATGGTAGCAAGAGGAGAAGCGGCAGGCTTGTCGGCAAGCAAATGAACTTTGCTGAAGAGCCTGAAGTTGACACTGAGGTAAGTCTCTCACCCATGTTCGACGACAGTCGATCCTGCGATGTCTCACATGGTAGCACTGCTGACACTGGTCTTAGGACAAAGACTACTTCGATTCACCCTACGCGACCCCCTCCAAGAAGCGCAAACTGTCCCGTCTACCGCCGACCCCCAACTCGTCCGCCGACGATGACGAGTTCGTAGAGGACGAGTCCGAGCCTGACGATGATATTCTAGAAGAAGACACAAGTGAGCCTGAGGAGGCGATTTCGCCAATCCATGCAGCACGCGGCCGGAAAGCGGCGCGCAAAGCTCGCTTGAACATCAAGGCTGCTTTTGTACCTGAGCGTCGCACTTTGAAGCTCAAAGTCCCCGGGTAAGTTAACTCTTCGCCTCTGATGTTATGTCTCGCGCTGACCGATGACAAGAATCGGACCGTCACCTCAGAAAGTTCGACAGCAGACGAAGGTGCCCTCGTACATGATGACCGAGTTCACCCCAGATGTCATGGACGCCGCCCGCGAATACCTCAAGCGCGAGCCCGTCTTCTTCCCCGCTCCCTTCCTCTCAGAAGACCGCCTCCGCATCGACAACTACAGCATCTACCTCTACTCGTCCCCTCCACACACTTCATTCCCCGAGATGTACGCGTCCGCCTACGATTATGCCCGCTTCAACGGTCCTCGCCGCCACGCTCCGTTCCGCGAGCTTCACCTATTGAGTCAGCCTCACCCGAAGGATACTAGTGACTGGGCTGAGAACATTCGTTGGGCTAAGCAGCAGTTCAACTTGTTTGGTAGTGTTTGGACGGAGTATGACTGGCATCTTGAGTGTATCACTGCGCATAGGTATGAGATTGGTTGGGTCAGTGAGGAGGTTGTTAGGGATGGTATGTGAGCTGACTGGGCGTTGGGCTCTGTTCCGGAAATACTTTTGGGTTGCGTTCTGGTCGTATTGATGCCTGCATCTGCCTCTGGATATTCTGGATATCATGGCAGTCTTGCGCTATAACACGAAGATGGTCATCGAATTAGGTACACAGGACTGATAATAATGCATTCTCGCAGTTCACCTTTGTTTCAAACCTTCATATCGTGTTCCTAGTTCTCGCGATCTTGTGAAACAGCACACATGGGGCGCACGTGAGTAGGCACTTTTGTTAATTTTATCATCTTCTATTATGTGACGTGAATTCGCTCAAAGCATACGACTAAATGAAAAGGGTATATCGTGCAGAATGTACAAGACGCCCGATTCCTCTCCAAGAAGTCCTACCAGAAACGCCATGCTACGCTCGCTAACCTTTTCCAATACCGCGCGAAACGCGCTCCAATCCCGATGCATGTTTGTCCAATATGCGCCAACCTCTCGAGAGACCCGATATGTGGTCTTGTTTGACCACACTAAGCTTCACGGGAGGAAGTATCATCAGCGGGGTGTTCGGCACTGCCGCCGTCGACGTCGTGGACCACGATGGAAGGGATGGAAGTCTCCTGGACAAGTCCATCATGGGCATCATCGTCCTGCAAATCGAGGTTGTGGTCTTCTGGGTTGTCCTGTGCGAGCTCCGCATCGTTTTGCTGGTCGACGAAGCCACCTAACTCACGGTTGATGCTGTCCAGAATCTCCGGATCGATGCTCTCCAGGATCTCCGGATCGATCATACTGAGATCGAGAGACGCGAATGAGCTAGTGTCGTCGTCAAGCTGTTCTTCGAACTGATTTGGGACGTGAGACTCGTTGTCGTTAGCGGCCATGTCGTTGTCCCAAGGGCCAGATGGAGATACAGCCCTGGCGTCGTGTGCAGCTGGTTCGATTAGGTCGGGAAGACTACGATGACCTAGAAGGGAGTTGTCTGGAGTGTCCGGGCCAGGTGTATGCTCCGCGCGGCGGTTAATGGGCACGATGCCGTTAGCGGCCAAGACGCTGACATACAACGCGTATAGTTGATCCTCTTGTATCGTAGCTAGGACATGTGACAAGTCGGCGGCAGTGTTGTTCATGATCCGACTAAGGATCAACGAGTTAATAGATGAAAGACCGCTGGCTGCAGCAGGAGCTTGTGCGCGAGAGGGGCCAGCGTGGTTTGTCATCCTCACAGGGCCGCGAGGCGCGGGGACGTGGGGCTGGACAGAAGGAGGCGGTCGGACAAACGTAAACGCCTGGACAACGGGGAACTGCTGAAGATGCTGCACGGTTGCCGTCCGCTGTGCTGCTGTGAATACGTGGTGCGTGAGGTTTGTCGCAGCCTGGACCGCCTCCGGCTCGGGCATCGTCTCCCACGCCACAGTCCTCCAACGATCAAACAGTGCACCATCTCGATGCGCAGGGAGTACCGTCCGGGGACCACCCAAGAGCTGAGTGAGCCAGTTAAAGTCTCGTGGAAACATCAGCGGTAGGTCGATATTGGCAACAGCGGCCTTGACACAGCGGGTTAGATCGAGCTCGTCGTCGCCAGATGGGTATACCCTAACGTCAGCTGCCAGTGACGCGAAATGGACGCTAGCAACGACCGGTTTATCGTGACGGCTGCCCGGGACTTGAATCTCGCAGTGGTTTTGGACGCCGGTAAGAGTCAGATTATCGTGGTTCCAAGCCTGGCCGACCTTTGGGTAAAGACCGGCCTTGTGGCGAGTCATAGTCCATTGATCGTCCTAAAGATAGTGTCGCATCGTCCCCTGGGCCAAGTGAATCACGGCATTGGTGGCGTCTTGCCGAGAATTGTTCTTCACCACGACTCGAAACCATTTGTGAATCCTAACGAGGGGGTAGGCATCGCCACCGTTCTGGACAAATCGAACAAGGACGCCGGGGCTACGAATCAGCGCGGGAAGAAACGTCATCAGTTCCGCACCGGTGATGTTGCCGGTTTGCGGGATGCGGAGATACCGGGTAACAGCGTTTGGACCGAAGATGTCAGTTGGGGAGGCGTGGATCGAGCCGTCCTTGTTCTTCGAACGTGCTTTGCTCATGGCGGCTGGTTTCTCAACCCTAGCCCCTTTGACCGGAGATGAGTTGGTTGAAGGAGTCTTCGGATTGCTCGCCATGATGCCTTTGATACAGGGATTAGTGTTTGGTAGAAGAAACGTTGTAGCAATCGGATGGAGGTTTGAGCGGTGCTTGAATTGCTTGCACTGTTGAGTATGGAACTTACTGGCCGAGAGTCTGCAACTCGGTTGATATAGAGTAAGACGGGTAATTCGACGAAGTTAGGTATGTAGAAGGTGTTGATAGATGCGAGCCTCGTCGACGATATATTGTTGCAATGCTTTGGTAGCTGCAGACGAAGAAATCTTTGTTTACGACTTTAGCAGATGCATGGAGAGGCGCTTTGGCTCAAAGCTAGAACAAGATGCAATCCAATTATCGCTTAAACAATGTGCTAGCGCTTTGGACATAAGGGCCTGCAAAATGTGAGCACGAAAGGCCGCATTGACGGAGCTGGACCAATTTGAACCCCACGATCAAGGATCTTGGAGGTGATTTTGAAACAATCCCCGCGTTCGCCAATCCAGGAGTGACCACATGAAGGGCGAGAACGGCTCATTTAGCCAACTTCGGAAGGCAGGTGACTCAATCTTGCCTGCGTTACTCTGGAAACAATCGTTCAGGGCGATATTGGGGGTTACTATTGCCGATAACTCCATCAAATGACGTCAAAGAGACTGGTTCTTTGCTCCGAGAGCGATGGCGACATCGGTATCGATTGGCAGGTGATAAGGACAGATCGAGTACTCGAACGTCTCTTCGGCCTCTCGTACTCGATGTTGAACATCGCTGATACATCCATACCTGGCGGAGGCTGGTTGCGGACGCACTAGGTTGGCCAGAGCGACTCGGTACGCGGCCGAGGACTAGATAGCACGGAAGGTATATCGACGCATACAAAGTCCTCGACCACGAGGCGCGAGGTCTTGCCGCTGGGTCCTTGTAGTTGCAGGGGATCGAAGACGATATCGCGTACGTAGGAGGTGGAGAGAGCTCGCGCACTTGATGTACTCATGCGCAGTCCGCTTGCTTTCCTCGTACTTACGGTACATTTTTCCATACGCATTGTGACAAGCACCGTAGACAGGTCAAGCGATGCCGCACGACAACATCTCTTTCATAATATTAGCAGTAGTTGTAAGGGATTTGCGCGGCAATCGGTGGAATCCAATACACTATACTTCCATGCTCATTCAACTCTTCTTTCTTGTATGAACGCTACCATGGCCTGGGCAGAGGCCTTGGTACAAGCTTGTAATGGTCTTAATCTTCTTAGTGCATCTGAAGACCTTATACTGAGACTTCGAGGGAACCGTCTGTAGTAGGTACGATGCCATGAGTATTGGTGCTAGACACACTGTAAAGGACACGGTGACACTGTCAAAACGCGTGGATCATAGCTTTACGAAACACATGGATGGTCTTGGATACGCGAATGGGGTCTGTCGGAATGCATCGTGGTTGAGCTTCGTGTGTGAAAGAGACGCGTTGACGCGTTGAAGCTTGCCGTCGGAGATGGGATGGGACAATTCGCCGATGTGGGGCTGCCTTGGTAGCTTGGTGTCACGTGAGCCATCTCTTACATTCCCTGACATACATGTCGATGCATAAGGAGCTTGCGAGTTCTAGGTACGATTTTTGTGCATAGGTTCTTCAACGACCCATAACAAAGATTTTAAATCTGCGAACGTCTAGATCCTGATCGTGACCTCTCCACATATGGCTTAGTGTAAGCGGTAGCAAATTCTGCCGCTTGTGCACCAGTGCCGAGGTCGAAGTAGTCCTCAACAACGCGCGACGCGACAGATACCAGAGGTGAGCAGAGCTCCTCCGACGTTTCTGCTATCATCGTGCGATCAACCAGGGGTAGTCGAAGATCATGGGCCGTGTCCCTTCTTCCATCACCTCATCATCCGTCTTTACCACCACGGTCCGCAACGCCTCAGTGCGCTCGTCAAGATTCTCCATGTAACGCGCGACATTCGCTCTGACTGCATGGCTGATTCTGCAATCCTCGTCATAGCAGCCGTAATCTCGACATTCTCTCCTCTGACGTCGACGTTCCGCTTTTCTTTTCGACTCTTCTGTTCCGATTTCTTGTTCGGCTTCTTCGTCCTCTTCGTCCGCGAAAGCTATCCGTTTCCTATTTGGCTCGACGTCATGCTCATGATTGTATTTGAACAGTTCGAAGTCCAATGCGTCATCTTCCCTTTGTCTTTTCCATTGACTGACCGCCAAACCAAGCCTTTGGTTTTCTTCGGCCTCCTCGTGGAACCTCAGAGTCTCTCGAACCCTTTGTTCACTTATGTCCGTTTCCTCACTGCAGCGCACAGTCACGTCACTCGAGGTTGTAACCGTGATCTGTATATTGGAAGTCTCTTCAGTCGCAGAGACGGTGGCAGTTCCCTCCTGTGGTCCACGGCTTGGAATGGGGTTCATTGGTGGAGAGGGATTGGACGATGATGACTTTGCTGATGCATTTTGGGTATTCAGTGATTTGTCCTTGGGTGGGCGACCGGGGCCTCGTTTCTCGGGCTGTCCTTGGATTTCCGTCGGAGTATCTGCACGCGCTCGTCTTGACGTTTTGGGCTTTTTGGGTACTGATGCTGCCGGCAACCCGTATTTGCGTGGTCGACCACGTGGGTTCTTTGCCGGGATCGGTTGGGTACCGATTTCGATATGTGGTGCTGTCGCTGTACGTGGTGGAGTCATGGTAAGATGGCTTTGATGCACGCTTGGAAAAAAGGTAGGTGGGAAGGAAGGAGAATGTCGTACTGTCCGATAATCGATATGGAGATATATAATCTTTCGTTGTGCTAGTGTTAGCTTGAGTTGGAACTCTGGTTTGTCTTCGTTGGATGAGTCTGTGGAAGTCGCTGAGGCTGATGTCCATCCATGGTACGCGTGTTGTGGCACCATGGCCGACACTACACCAACAAGAAGGACCAATGCCGTCCGTCGCAATGCACATGATCCCAGGGACGCAACCTTCCAGCTTTTACAGTCATCGCTTCTCTTGCAGGCGCGCTGGTCGTTTCCATTTCCCTTGCACCTATGCTGGCATCTGCACTGGCGATCACTAACAGTTGTGTCGCACCTTCTGCATACACACTGCAGAACTTTAACGAATAGATAGTTTTCATGTAGGTTAATCTTCCATGTACAAAAAAATTTCAACAGTATCTTTGTAAAATGCAACACATGTAGCAGCCACCCTTGGTACCTGCACCAATCCTCCTTCAGCGCTAGCCACCGCGAGCCACTCACAATGTCCGTGTTTGAAGGCGAGGAGCCTTCATCGAACAAGAGTCACGACTGCTACCACACAATGAAATACGGCGCAGAAACCGCTGCTACATTCCCAGAACCTCGATTAGATCTATTCGATCCCGGCATCTTTATAACAGCGTTTCCGGTTCAGCGCCGTTGAACGCGTCTAATGTCGACGAATTGAAGTATTGCTCCATAGCGCCATAGTCCACTGGTGCTGCGCTAAAGCCTGAGGGTATGGCATCCAGCCCAGAACCCCATGACACCATTGCATTCAGATCGGTGCGAAACCAGCCCTCTGGGTCGTAGTACTCGCCGTGCATATCTTCAACCCTTGCATTTGCTTCGGATACAAAAGGATGGGGATGTTCTCCTGGAACTTTGGTGTCGTTCCAGTAAGTCGCTGAGTTTGCATCGTAATGCATTTCCTCGCTCTGAATCACGCTCGGGAAAACGGCGTTGGTCAGCTGATCGGGCCACTGTGGGTCTCCGTCGAGGCCGTCCTTGCCCACGCCGAGGGCCTGGTCAAGTTCCAGGCGAGCGTTCTTCAGATGCTCGTTTCCCGTTTCAGGCTTCTCGTGAGAAACCTCATATTTGGGGATCTTTGTCCCGTCTGCATCGCTGATACGCTGTGAAGCCAGTCCTTTGATGGACTGGACGATGCCTTGTAGGGTCTGTGCTTTGAGTGAGGGCTTGCCCTCCTCCGCGTCTAGTAAGACCTGCCATTCTGGCAAGCCGAGACCATTCAGTGGTGGATAGTCCTCCTCGAACATCACGCGATAATAGTCCGTGAAGGCGCGAAAGCAGTCTTCCTCTTCTGTTGGGAAGACGCTTATCGCTGATGGAAGATTCTTGCTGAAGTACTCTATGATAGCTGGCACATCGGCCGCAATGTAGTCCTTCGTGTCCATGCCGAAGGATATATGCGCCAGCCGCGTTGCCATGGCAAGCTCAAACTCATCTGCCGTTGGAGGAGACGAGATGAGCATTTCGCTTCGGCTGACCAGCAGTTCCATTCCGTAGAAGTTGGTGCGCTGGATGATTTCCGCGACATGGGTGGGATGTGCTCGCCAGTTGACGCGTCTTTGCGCGTCGGACTGGGCGAAGCGAACACAACGAGCTAACTCTGAGTCGATGTGGGGTGGTGGTGCTGGCATCTCCCGGAAGAGTTCGGGCGCTTCTGCTCCATTCGGGACTACCCAGTCTAATCGCTGGTTCAGAGTCTCGATCTCCAACAGCTCGGGCATTGGGCGATACTCGCGCTCTCGTGGTCGCGGAACCGCAGGTCGATCGGTGAACTGGGCGAGGTAGTGCTTGAAGTTCTGTGGGTTTCCTGGGTCATAGCCTTCGCTGTAGGCTACGCCCGTTTTGATGATGGCGTGATCGTTCATGTCTATCAGAGAGGGAACTGTGGTCACAATCTTTGGAGCGAGCTGAGGTGCAGCAGCAACGATTTGTGGCGGTGTTTGGTAGATACCAAACCCCTCGCATGCATCTTTATTGACGATGGGGAATTTGTCACATTCTGGTGGCGGTGGTTTGTAGGTACCGAATCCTTTGAATGCGTCTTTCTCGACCGTGGGAGATGCAGCAGCAACAATTTGTGGCGGTGGCTGGCAAGTACCGAACCCTCCGAATGCATTACCCTCGCCGGCGGAGGACTTATCGTCTTGTGGTGGCGGTGTTTTGCAGGTACCGAACCCTTCGAATGCATTTGCTTCATGAGCGCGGGATTCAACCTCTGGTGCCATTCCCATCAAGATGGCATCTAAATCCAGAGATCTTGACTCTAGTTCATCCAGGGCTGGCTCATCGTTCCCCGGTACATGGTCTATGCTAGATGGGTTCAGGATGTAGTATATAGGAGACGACAATACCTCCTTGGATACGGGCTCGGAGCTCGGTGATGGCAGTTGTTGAGCTTCCACCTTTTCGAGCGCTGCATCGATTTCTTTCTGGAATTTATCCGGTTCTGCTGTGTTGACCACATCTTCCACAAGCTCGAAGGGTGGCGACGGTATGGATATAGTAAAGTACTTAGTCGCAAAGTCTTGGACTGGGTCGTGTCGGATCTTGCCATGGACCATCCACGGCAAAGGCTGTTGGCCATTAAGCTTCCTTAGCTTCTCTGCACCACTCTCTCGAAGATCGTCATTGGCTTTCCGCTTCAATGACTGTGTAACCTTTGGCTGAGCATCCTTGCTACTCTGTGTCGCTCCGCCAGTGGGCGCGTCAAGCTCAGCCGCGTCCTTGACAACTTCCTCAGTGGATACAACGACGCCCTGTGGAAAGTGAAAGTCCTTGAGATTAGGATGATAATAGTAATCAGCCTCTTGCGCTCGGAACTGAGGCTTATAGCCCGGTATACGGCGACATTTGTGTCGAGCTCCGGTGTCGGTGATTTCTTGCAGCAACTTTGCGGCGGCGGGTGTTGGATATTTAGGCTGAGACGGCTGCGGCTCGTCTTCCCAGACTTTGAACTTCTTCTTGCGGTCTCGACCTGGTGTCAGGGGGGTCTGCTTTATGGTGTCGATAATGGGCTTGGGTTGAGATAGCGTATCGTCGACGGGGAGGGCGGTGATCTTTTTGTGGGGAGGATCTCCGCCTGAGACGGGATCGATGCTTGATGGGTCCGTGGTTGAAGTGGGCTTTGCTCGCACTTCTTTCGGGTCGGATGGAAGGTGGGAGCCAGGGTTGTGAACGGGATTGAAATCGCCAGCGATACGTTGGCGCTTCACCCCACGGGCTTTCCTGTTCTGCTCATATATAGTGGTGTCTTCTGAGTGGCGCTGTGCGTGTGGAGTAGTTGGCGGATGGTTCTCATCGTTCGATGGGCCGGCGCCAGGACGGAGCGCAGCTTGACCTGGTGGAGTCGATGTCGAGCGGCGTCTCTTGTGGTGACGGTGTAGTGTGGGTGTAACCAAGGCGGCTACCTGGGTGAGCTGGTCGGCCATCGCGGCTGTCGTTGGAGTGTTGTCGGTGAGGATGGTAATGGCGAGAGTCTGCTGGTAATTGAACGGGATGATTCTCGATCGGAAGTGCGTGCGGCGGGTGTGTCGACTGTTGAAATGATGAGTGGTTCCTGTAACGAACGGCGCCTGTGGAGAAAAGGCGCACTCAGTCCCGTGATCTGGCGGCGAAACTAGTCCAAATTATCTGTAGCATTCACGCTGGTCATCGCCGGAATGCAGTCACGAGAAGCTTGCAAGAGGCTAGGTCGTATTTGTGAACTGATCATTGCTGAAGTTGAGTGCACCCTGGCGGCTACATGTCCCTCTCCAAGCTACTTCCATCACTTCACGCTACACCGTATACTTCAAAAGCTTCCGACGCAAGCGTTGTTCCAAGGCCTTCATGCTCGCACGATCAGGTCCAGGACATCGCACACGTTGCCTCACGGTCTCCTAGGCCCGATCCTTGGCCGCCTTTTCCTTCCTATCTCTCTCATAGCCCGCAAAGCGCTCGATATCCTTGGGCCACTGTCCAAAATAGTCCCAGTGATCCTTCGCATACACGATCGCAAGCGCAAGGTCGCAGTCGAGGTCCATGGGCATCACCCGGTTTGCGAGCAAACCCGTCAGATAGCGGTTGGGATACTCATCTTTCTTGGGGTCCAGCGGTGACAGCGCGTATACCTCGAGGATGTGGCGGTAGTTGGCGCTGGGGTCCTTGCGCAGAAACTCCCTTCGCGCATCGTCTTGCTCGCGCTTGAGCGCTGCGGCGGTTGCGGCATTGTAGATCTCCTGAGCGCGGGCTTTCTCGGCGTCGTGAGCTTGTTGCGCCCGAACGCGCTGCTCTGCGAGCTTAGCCTGCTGGATGCGACGGTCTCGGGCGATTTCATCGGGACTCATCCGGTTGACCGGTGCCGCAATCCCGTTGGCTGAGGCAACCGGTCCACCTCTCATGCGGTTGTATGGCCCTGGATTGAGAGGATCGTTGTTGTGGCCGGTGGGAGCGAACGGCGCAGCTGGAGGTGACATCGCATTTTGCATGGTGTTTTGTCTCTTGCCTGCATGCATGTCGCCTTCCGGAGCGTCTGTGGCCTGGCGCTTTTGGTTCATAGTGGCGGAATATGCTGGCCGTGTGGGTGAGGGTGGCAGCTTCATTTGTACATGCGAAGGGCTCTGTCTGGGTGGTGATTTCTGGTAGCGAGCGACGTCGTCCGTGGGTAGCATGCGCGGCTGATTCTGCGTAGAACCGAGAAAAGCGTTGTTCTGTTGATAATGTCGAATTTCGCTAGCGTTCGGTGCCTGCATCGAGCGTGGCACAATAGGAATATTGGAGACAGCACCCGGCGTCGTTATGTATTCGTTTCGCGTAGAGGATGCCGTCGTCGGTGCTCGCACTGCTGGCGCGGTGGTGACCGAGGTGGCTATCTTCGATGGTGCAGACAGTGGGCTTGAGGTATATGGCCTTACTCCGTTTATGCTATCGATAGAAGGGCTCCGGGCCGCATTCTGACCTTGGTGTCGACTGCTCTCACGCGGTACTTGTTGCTGCTGCTGTCCTTGTTGCTGGCTTCGTAACTGCTCGCTTTGCTGTCTAGAACGCTGTATTTCAAGGCGGAGCCATTGTTGCTGGTCTGGTGGCGCCTTGTTGAACCACTGTTGTCGCTGATCAGGGGTCGCCTTGCTGAGCCACTGTGCTCGCAACTGCTGGTCAGAGAGCCTGCTCATCTTGTCTGCGGTAGTAACGATCGACGATATGCGGGTGGGCAAGTTGATGATATGGGGAAGTTGTAATCGGTGGTTGAGAAAGAAAAGCCGTAGAGGATACGAAGGAGAGACCGGAGCGACAGGCAGCTGATCCAAGCTATTGTCTTCGGCTTGCAGAAAAGGAGGTTGGTGAAAGGCACCTTCACCTTCTGTATTTTGCTATTGTGATAGCCACGGTTCGCGTCGCTCAATAGGGTCGCAACGTTCCAAGGTTGAGCTGCCCTCCTCCCGCACCACTATCGGCGTCTTCAAATGCAATAATATCGCTTAATAAGAGAGGATACTCAGGACGGGTCAACTGGAAGATCGAGTACTACTTCTAGTGATGTTGGAAGATCGGGAAGGCGTTGCGTTCACCTTCACTTCCCAACCACCACTTATGACGACACTCTTTGGGACACTGGCAGCTATCACGTTTGCCAATTTTGAAGTCTTCAGGTGGCTGAATTTTCCTAAAAACAAGTGGGAGGAGCTAGGTACCTGGGTCGCGAGCAAGGTCTTGAGAGTGCTTCCGTGGTTTGTCATCTTTCTTGCAAACGTGTAAGTGTCATGAAGAGATCAGGGAGTATATAGCAAAACGGCCAGATAGAATGGTCGACGGCGACGCTGTCTACGCGACTCTGTTGACTTGAAGTTTGCAGTTGAGAAGGAAGCTCGCTTTACCCAGAGGTAAAACACACACAAAGGAAGCAATTGAGAGATCGATCAATCAACAGGAGCAATCCGGCATCTCACAACTTGTTGTCCTTCTTCTGGTCTCTGACCTCTTGCGCCATCCTGACCATCGCATACAAACTCTGCAGGCGCGGCATCTCATAGCCCCTCTCCCGCGCAATCCTCAATGGATTGCCGAGAATGACCTCAATCTCCATCTTCTTGCCCGCTTCCCAATCGATGGCCATGCTCGGCTTGCTACCGCTTGTATTCTTTTGTGTAGACCGAATAATCTGATCGGGAGTCGCGAACTCTTTGGGCATGGGCTCGCCAAGGATCTTGGGTGCGGTTTCGAGGATCTCGGTCATGACGCCTTTAAGATGGCGCTGCAGTTCTGGGTCGAGGGACATGACGTTGTTCGGGAGGCAGAGGGTGAGAACCGAGGTTGGGTTCATGGAGGCGTTGATGGCAATCTTGTGCCAGCGGACGAGTTGGAGTTTGGCATGGCTGTAGGCTTCGGCGTCTTTGATGCCTCCTTGCCTCAGCATCTCGATGAACGCGTCGTTCATCAAGATGACGCGTAAGTCGCTATCTTTTCTGCTCCCGGTATCTAGATGGGGCAGGTACGGTCCGCTGTTTATCCGCGTCCATCTGTTGTGCTTGATCTGGCCATGCTCAGGTTGCGCGCAGGTTGCTATCGTGACCGCCGAACATATCGCAGCCTGTGGGAATCGCTTCGCATACGGTTCTTCTACACCTAGGCCATTCTGTATCAGCACAATGGCTGTCTTATCGCTGACAAGCCCCTCAAGTATCGTCGAGTCATCGCTCACGTCGGGTAACGCTTTCGTGCTGACTACGATGAAGTCCCACTGTGTGCCGCTCGCTCTTGCTTCGTCTGGATTCGCAAAGGTGTTGGCCGGTACGAAGGTGTAATCGCCGTATTGCGGTGAGGTAACTTGGAAGCCATTCGCTTTCACGGCTTTGTAGTTGGAGCGGCAGATGACCGAGACGGAGGTACCGGGGACAAGGGCAAGACGAGAGGCATAGAAAGCTCCAATGGCGCCGGCACCAACGATGAGGACGTTTGCAGACATTGCGAGGATGATGAGTTGAGGGAGAGATGACGATATCGACCCAGAAGCTTCGCAATTGTGCCTTATCGATAAGCGGCGTTCTTGCCGAGGTTGCGATCCGCGTCGGCGCGTCCACGCTCCCTGTCCATGAACACCATCGCTGAGATCCGTCAGGAAAGTCACCCATTTGTAAGAATATTTGTATACCTTCTATTAACTCTAGAAACCTGTTTAACCAACGAGTCTACACCTCTGATCAGGTCTATATAAGCCCTTGAAGACAGACCTTACGATCCAAGCCGTAGCTGTACATCGAAACACGACACGTTGACGCGTCTTTGGCAATCTAAAACTTCGCCCACACGACATGCCGCCTCACAACATTCTTCTCGTATCCCACTCGCTTCATGACTACCGCCTCGTCAACGCGAGCCTTGCCGTTCGACCCATCCCCAATAGCGGCCCTCGCAGCTCCAGCCCTATTGTCGATCGTGAAAAGGAGACAGACGGCAACCATATGTGGATCATCTCCCTTGAAGATATTGATCTTTGAAACATATTTCCCGCCGAGCTGGGCTTTGTGCTGCGCCAGGAAGTACCCAACGGCTTGTCCATTCGGAGATCCTGCATTCACAGTCGAAGTCAATAATCCATGCCCAGAACGTCGAACCGAGATACGACTTACCGAGCAAAGCGAGATATTCCGGCTCATCTGACCCAAACTCGCAGCCCGACCAGCTCATCAGCTCACCCAAGTCGAGGCAGTTGTCTTGTAAGATTTTCGTAATTATCGCGACCGTCTCGTCATTTATAATAGGCGTACTAAGGATATACTTGATACCGCGCAGGTTGTTCGGACTCGCCAAGTTCCACAGTCCCCACATAATGTCGGAGCTCGATTTCAGTGCTGGAAGCTCATCGTTGGGCGGGGGGTTGGTGAGGCCCCAGAGGGTTTGGGCGCTGGTCGCGGGGCTCTGACGATTTGTCATTGCGATGAGGCCTGATGCTGCGTTCACGCCGATTGTGAACTCGGCGTTGGTGACCTACGGAGAGAAAATGTCGTCAGTAAAACATGGATGGACCGTCATCTTCTTTTACCTACACGATAGTATTTGTCGTTGGCTTTATACCACTGCTGCTTGACGGGTGGTAGATCTCCCTGGTTATCGCGCCGTACTGCCGGACCGTCCTTATGGTTGATAAAGTAACACCGATTAGGTCCACCCTGGTAGGTACTACGCGTATCGATCCTGAGGTCATCGAACATGCTCTTGAGCTTGTGGCTGTGCTCGAACTCGCACTCATCCCCATGACTTGCGCGGAATTGGGGGGTGCCATCGTCACTCTCGATTTTGTAGCCCCAAGTCTCAAGCTCCTGTTGGATGGGGTTGGTCCAGGGGCTATCGATCGGGTTGACAAAGGCGGCGGCGGCGTTATGCGGAGAGGTCGTTGCTGACAGCAGCTTTTGGCCCTTGCATGTTGCTTTGTGGTATATAATTTCTATATCGTCGACGCGAGCGACGAGGCTACGGGAGGGGCGGGAAGGAATATCGGGTCCTTGAAGAGGAGAAGCATCGACAGTCAGGCCCTTCACGAGAGCTACACACGTTATAAGACAGACGATCGCCAGGGCCCGCATACTTGATATTCGGTTTGTCCGTATGTGTAGCCAGTCAAGCAGTCAAGAGAAATCTGACCTCTGTTTTAAGTAACTGCACGGCTCGAGTGTTACCCACTTTGAGCGTCTTTCACTTAGCCATTATCTCATAACTCGGCCCCACCCAACCCTTACTTGGCAGAGGAGTCTGTTCGTAGACGGTAGCTCCATCTGTAAGCGCACTGCGAGCGTCGTACGTAGCCAGCACGGCGTTCTCATGTAGAGGGTTGATCGCATGGTGTTGTCGGTATAGCTTTGGAGACACAGAGAGGGTCAATAAGCAATCTTAAATGTCAGCATGATATGAAAGATAGCCATGGAATCTGCTCTAGTCTTTGTCGATATACCTGGTGTCCAAATTGCAGCTCGCAGTTACACCACACCTGCCATCAAGGTGCAGTGCACCATGGAGTTGAGCGCAGTCCGTGCGGTTGACAGTTGATATGGAAAGGGCGAAATAAGCACCAGGCATCTGGTTATGCAACGTTTTGGTGTATCATTGAGCATCTAACATAGCTGTGACGCGCTGGAGGGTTGTTTCGGGAAGGAACCACCAGCCAAATTTGGACTAGTGCCCCAAATGTCGTGACGCGAACTTCCAACGTCAAACCTCCTCGCATCATCACTCTCGCCCAACGGCAACCATCACCAGCTACTTGACGCGCGCTCGCAATAGTTCCACGCCCTCGTCATCAAGCCTGGAGCCTTCGCGACTGCATTCTGGCTGGTCTCGTACAACGCGCCCGTTGATCATAGGCCGGAGCGCACCTGGGCAGTCCAATGCCCGCCGCACGAGACTCGTCGGATTCGGCGGACATTGTACCTTAGGTGAAGACATGCATACATGCTGGCAGATCACAAAAAGAGGTGTCTCGCAGTAAACAGGAGTTTCTAGTCTGTTGTGTCCACCACCCTGTCTTGCAGGTCATTGTGTACCTACGTAGTTCTGTCTAGCATGTTTTCGCTCTTCTTCTTCCGTAATTTCTCTCACCTTCATTGAGATTCCTTATTCGTCTCACCGCTCAATACACCGCGGACGCTTTCAGGCCATTGAGTACCGGTTGCCACGTTTTGAAGCTGGAACCTCGTGAGCGCCTATCATGAAGGCATGACGTGGCTGCTTCCTTTGTGGCTCTATATATTCTGGTCTTTGCATCCTCTTCTCCTCTCTTCCTTCATCCTCATTATATCTCATCACTCGTCACGCAACTTGCTGCATCAAGACTACCATGCCCTTCACTACAACCATGCATGGGCGGTTCACGTTCATCAATACGATGAGAATAAACTCATCTGGTCGCTGCAAGAGCGGACACGCGCCGCACTGATCTCCTCGCGCCTGATCGTGAGTATGTCGTCTTCATGGTGAACTTATGTCGGTGAACTGACTCAATCAGGATGCGCAGCAAGTTTCACGTTCACCAGATCACAGTCCTCGGTGCTGTCTCTTGTTGTCTCATCTGGTGCCTGTAGCAGTGGGTGCGGGCTCTCCGCATCTGTGTGTATGTCGTCTTCACGGTGAAGTGATGAAGTCATATTAGTGAGCTGACTGAATCAGGAAATGCAGCAAATTTCATGTTCACCAGGCGACGGTCGTCGGTGCAGTCTCTTGTTGTTATGCCATATGGTGAGTGTCCGAGCGCCACAGAACAACAAACTCGGCTACAATTTTCTGACTATCCCATCCCAGACCACGCTACTCAGCACCATGGCTGAACACAACGAAAGCCCTCAGACTTTCATGCCGATCAGCCGGACCTCTAGCCGGACCTCTATGTTGCCTGCAGCAACATTTCCAAGCGCTAACATGCCATCCTATCTAGCAGCGTACTTCGAGGACGAGGTCGAGCCGCAGGTTCAGATGCCCAACTTCGCCTACGAACTCCAAGACTACACCAGCAGAGCTTCGAGCGTCAACAGTGCCTACCAAGGCAGCTCGCCACGCAAGTACAGCGTCGGGCGCCAGCTCCCTAGGTATGTTCACACCATGGTCACCGTTGACTTTGATGTTCCCATCACGCCTCCATTGTTTGGAGATCTGCCATGGCAACGGCATGTGGAAGAAAACAATGCTAACACTTCACTTTACAGCGAGTCGATGTTTCCGCCATTCGACCACATGAACCAGCCTCCTTTGGAGACGACTATGCCGCAGCAGGAGTTCGATGCCAGCATGGCGAACCCTTTCTACGACTACAATCCGCCAAGCAGTAAGTCTCCCCTATCCAAATCACCTCATGTATCCGCCAGGCTGACTGATTACCTTAGAATTGGGAGAGCTCCAGGGTCATGTCGACTCCAACATCAGGATCTGTGAAGTGGTCAACAGCCTCACTCTTCGCATGAACAAGGCCGAGTCGGAGGTCTCAGAGTTGCGAGAGACTGTTGTCCAGCTTGGCGTGGCAGCATTGTCAGCTCCACGCACCCCAAAGAAGCCCACTCCTGAACCGTCAAAGACCTTTGTATTCAACAACACTGGTCTTCAGGATGCACAGGTCTTCGAAACCAAGGTTGTCAGCGGCAACAAGGGTAGTGAGAAGAAGAAGACCACCAAGACTCAGGCCCGCAAAGACCTCCAGGTTAAGATCCCTGGCATCCCCACCATCGCCCCGCTGCCCACTGGTCAGCCAGATGTAAGTCCTACAAGTCCATGTCTCCACCATCGTGTACTAATAGCGAACAGTCTGGCTACCTTACCGGCGGCATGATGTCTATGTTCCCCATTACACCAACGTCTGGCGGAGGCTTCCCAAGCTCACCTCTCACCCCCGGTCGCGTCGGCCCGCCTACTCCTAGCAAGCGCGGTAACAGCGGCAATACGTCAATCGCCAAGCGCAAGGCCCACGTCGCACGAGGAAACATGGCGCCAGCGCTCGTCGTCGTTCCCCAAGTCCCTCTGACCGACACCGAGCTCATCGTGTACTTCTTCCAGTCTCTCGGTCGTCCTACCGTCGCGCTCCGCCTCTACTCCCGCAAGTGGGGCCCCGCGCAGATGGTTGAGACGCTGAACGCTCACCGCAACCTCGAGGGTGGTTACCTCCGCAACACCTGTTCGGTCAAGTGCATTACCGCTATCAACAAGGGCAAGGAGAAGTACGGCGTGAACTGGGCTGATCAGTTCCGCGCTGGCATCGAGAACGCTAACGACTTGATCGCCACTGACCTGATCCGTTATCCTCACGATGAACTGGAGGGTGTTCTGGACTACGACATCCGCTTTCTCAATAACGGACTCAAGAAGCACCCTGAGCAGGGCGTTGACGGCGGCATCTTCACCCGATGTGTCAAGTACTGCATCAAGTACAACGCCTCGTACGCCCTATCTAACGTCCATGAACTCGCCTGGGCCCTACAGACCGGTCAGCTGAGTGAGGAGGAGATACCCGAGGTACGCGAGGAAGTTGTCGCTGAGACCTAGCTTCATTGACGAGGCTGCCTAATACATGTTTGAGGCATATATAGGGTTGTTTGGAAGGAGAAGTTGTTTCAGGATGATGGGTTGTATACTCCAAAGTAAGATTCTGAGCGAAGTAATACATGACATGAAATGAAGAACTATAATGGCTACGCTGACTTTATGATTTGCAAACTTGAGTTTTTAAAGTGATGTAGACCTCAGGGCACCTCTCAATTTCCACTCTCATCCTCCTCATCCCCTACCAACCCAACTCAACCCATCAACTTCCTCAGCATATCGCCCTTGCCCTCCGACCCCCCATCTGCAACACCCTTGCCCGCATCCTTATCACCCTTATTCGGACCCACCGGACTCGTCGCGGCGAAGAACAGCACCTTGATCGCAATCGCAAACCCAGCATGTAGCACAAAAACCACAATAAGCAGGATCTTGCTCGTCTTCGCTTCGGTAGTGCTGAGCACAGGGTAAAGGTTGCGGAGGAGGAAAAACGCCGAGGCCGCGAGTCCAAGGGCCACGACCGTGAAGTTGAGGACTGTAGTTTCGTTAGTACGTCGTCTCCTGCTTCATATGAAGAAAGAAGGAAAAGGAAAAAAGGGACAAAACTCACTACCCCAAGGACTCCAAGCCACCAAAGACACGGCAATCCAAACCAAATTCGCATACCCATACAAACAAGCACACTCCATCAAATTCGCACTCTCACTCCCATACCACTTCAACACACCCCACAGCCCCACAGGCACAAAAGCCGTATACCCATACACCAGCCCCGCCGCTCCACTCAGCAACTTGAAGTCATACGCAAAATGCTCCTCGCCCTTCTGCGCCAAGTATTGGTTAATCGTTCCGGTCAAAAACAATATCACGATAACCGTTGTGGCGATCCATACGGGGCCGTATAAGTCTGGGTTTCCCTCGAGCACGTCGAGGAAATTGGCGCGCGGGTACAGGGTGGATGTGCAGCGGCGGAGGACTTCGGCGGTGTCGACGTCGAAGGCTTGGGCGTAGAAGTTTAGGGACCAGAGGTAGTGTTTGCGCGACGTGGGCGATGTGGAAGACGTGGAGGGGCCGGGGAGGAAGGAGCCGCTGGTGGAGTCGGGTTGGATTTTGGGGGCGCCGCGGCCGGTGGGTTGGGTGTCGAAGTCTGAGGGGTGGAGAGTCAGTTAATGCTTGAGTGTATGTGATAGAGAGGGGAAGCTTACTGGAGCTGTGGAATTCGAGGTCTTCTTGCAGGTCGGTATGGCCTAGGTCGCCCTGGGGTTTGGTAAGCTTGCCGTCTTGAGTTGGATGCTGGCGACGTATGCGCTTTTCTGCGCCGCATCCCAGGGGGTGCGTACCTCTTGATCAACGTCTACGACGACATCATAGCCTCGGTTCGCCATGATTGCTTGTTTGTGAGGGCTGTCGATATGTCGCGAGCTGGCGTCGAGCTGGCCAGATTGCGGTTGACGTACGTCGCGCGACGCGACCGTGCGCTAGGTTCATTCGGAGCAGGCGTTTCAGGGTCCAGTTCCGCTCGACCACGGCGATGTCAGAGAGCACATGCATCTTCACAGGACCACTAAGTTCCTCAGTCGTAACGAGTTTCTCATTGTCATCATAAATACAAGTCATCAGATCTAAGGGTCTAGCCTCGCAACCATCTAAGATCTACCACGAAACCACCTCCAGTCACAATCTATGGCGCAGGCTCGCTCTTGACCTGCAGCGGCTCGACGTTCCAGATAGCCTCCGCATACTCGTCGATACATCTGTCACTCGAGAAGAAGCCCATGCGCGCGACTGTGGTGATGGTCTTGGTTGTCCACTCCTCGGTGTTCTTGTAGCTTTCGTCGATAAGCTCCTGTGTCTTGATGTACGATGCGAAATCGTCAGAGACGAGGTAGTAGTCACCATGATCCACGATGCCGTTGATCAGAGCAGAGAACTGGTCCGCATCGCCAAACATGCCATTGTGAATCGCATCGAATACGTTGGCAAGCTGGGGGTCCAGCTGGTACTGAGAGTACATGTGGTTGTGACGGAGGTCCTCGACATCTTCGGCAAGGTTACCGAAGAGGAAGATGTTCTGTTCGCCAATCTCGCGAGTAATCTCGATGTTGGCTCCGTCGCAGGTCCCGATGATGAGACCGCCGTTCAGGCAGAATTTCATGTTGCTGGTACCAGACGCCTCAGTACCAGCGGTGGAGATGTGCTCGCTAATGTCACTAGCAGGGCAGATGATCTCTGCTTTACTGACGTTGTAGTCGGCCAAGTATACGACCTTGAGGGCATCGCCGACATCCTTGTCGTTGTTGACGACATCACCAACCTTGTTGACGAGATGAATGACCGTCTTGGCCATCCAGTAACCTGGTGCAGCCTTACCACCGAAGATGGACACGCGAGGAGCTAGCTTTTTGCGGTCTTCAGGAGACATGGCCTTGATCTGGAGGTAACGGTGGATCACACCGAAGATGTTGAGCTGCTGACGCTTGTACTCGTGAATGCGCTTGACTTGAACATCGAACAGCGCTGCTGGGTTGACCTTGACGCCGTTGTTCTCTAGGATGTATTGTGCGAGTCGCACCTTGTTGGCGTACTTGATGTCGCGGAACTCCTTGCGGAACTCCTTGTCGTCGACAAACGCCTCTAGCTTGTTCAGCAAGGTAAGGTCCTTCAGGAACTCGTGACTACCCAACTTTGACGCAATAAGCGCAGAGAGCTTGGGGTTGGCCTGGTGGAGCCATCTCCTCGGGGTGATACCATTGGTGACATTAGTGAACTTGTCCTGTCCGTAGATCTTGACGAAGTCCTTGAAGATGGTGGTCTTGATCAAGTCGGAATGTAGCTCGGCTACACCGTTGACCTTATGTGAGCCAATCAAAGCAAGGTATGCCATGCGGACCATCTTTGGGTTCGATTCTTCGATGATGGAGACACGACCCAGCATCTCGCGGTCTTTCGGGAAGTTACGCTCGACGAACTGGAGGAAGTGAAGGTTGATTTCGTAGATGATCTTCAAAAGTCAGCAAGGTCTCAAGAAATCAGGCGATTGAACATACCTGGAGGTGGCGCGGGAGGAGGTGCTGCATGAGCGGTACAGACCACTTCTCGAGCGCCTCAGGAAGCACGGTATGGTTAGTGTATCCAAATGTCTTCTGAACGACTGTATGCTGTTAGCATCCAGGACTGGCTATGGGGGGTAGATTCTGCCTACTGGCCCATGCCTCGTCCCACTCCAAGCCCTCGATATCGACCAATATCCTCTGAAGCTCGGGAATGGCCAATGTTGGGTGAGTGTCGTTGAGCTGAATCGCGACTTGGTTGGGGAATTCCTTCCAGGCGCGCTGGCTCTTCTTGAAACGTCGCACGATGTCGTAGAGCGAAGCTGCGCACCAGAAGTACTGTTGCTTCAGGCGAAGCTCTTTACCGCGGTCAAGGCTGTTGCTAGTCAGACACGATATCTCATAACCATAAAGCTACTCACTTGTCGTTGGGGTAGAGCACAGCGGAGATGGTCTCGGCGCGCTGCTGGTCAGCTACAGAGCTCTCGTATTCGCCAGAGTTGAACTTCTGGAAGTCAAACTCGCCGCTGGCTGCCTTGCTTCCCCAAAGGCGGAGGTTGTTGCAAGTGCCAGTCTTGTAGCCAGGAACTGTACTTGTCAGTGGAAAGGCGAGAAGTCATGGAAAGACTGCTTACCGGGAACGTCGAAAGCAACAGCCTGGACAATCTCGCCGCCCTCCCACGAGCACTGTTGCTTGCCCTCGTCGTCCTGCCAGCGATTAACGTTGCCGTAGAACTGGATGTCAACGACGATGTCGTGGCGCTGGAACTCCCATGGGTTGAAGTCCAGCCAGTAGTCTGGAACCTCGACCTGGTATCCATCGACGATCTCCTGCTTAAAGATACCATATCGGTACCGTAAGCCGTAGCCCCAGGCTGGGTAGTTAAGAGACGCCATCGAATCCAGGAAGCAGGCAGCAAGACGTCCGAGACCACCGTTTCCTAGGGCGGCATCATGCTCCTGGGATACAATGTCCTCCATGCGGAAGCCGAGATCGCTGAGACCCTCTGCATGTACATTAGAGAAGCAAACGCGAGGTCCTAGAGGTGGACTTACTGGAAGCGATATCCTTCTGCTCAACGTTGAGCATGGCATTGTCCAGAGCGCGGCCCATCAAGAACTCGAGGGAGAGGTCTAGATTTATTAGAGGTTGTTCTGCCAGCAAATTTCCCACTAGTCTCACAGTATACACGCTTCTGGTCAGCAAAGGTCTGACTCTGCTGCGTCTTGTTCCAGTCCAAGACCAAGCGATCCCTGAAGGCAAGGGCAGTTCCAGCATAGGCAGCAGACTCGTCGCAGTTGAAGAGGGAGCGCGCAAGTGTAGTCTCGATATGGCGAACAGCGTCTTTCGTAAAGTCGTCTGGCGTCGAGAAGGGCTTAGGCATCTATGCGCGTGTTAGTATTGAGGTGCAACTTTGTACTACGATTGAGAAGCCAATTGACATACAAACTTCCTCCATGCCTCGCGCTGAGGCTCTGGAATGCTCGCTTCCACGTTCTTGATCTCACTGGGGCCAAAGCCAGTCACCGTCCTCTTGTGTTTGGGACGGGTGAATGAAGGCCCAACGGGACCCTTGAGGTCACCGAGGGGAGCGCTGGTCGAGGGCTTGCGCTCGCGGGGAGAAGGGTTTGCGGCCATCTTGATAACTTCAATTGCAGAGAAGCGCGAGCTGCTTAGAGAGTGTCGATGAGAGAGAGGAGATGGCGGGGTAGAGGGGCGTATGGCTGCCGCTTGGAGGTAAGAGGCGCAACCGCAGGAGGGTCAGGGCGATGTGATAGGACGGATAAGAGCTGCAGGCTTATGAAGACGCCGCAGAAGTACCTCAGACGTCGTGTTTGCTACGCGCCAGACAGGAAAGAGGAGCGGCAGCAACGGCAATGGCGTGTTTACAGGACGTCCGGGTGGAGTAAGACGGGCGGAGATCAATTGAACATGGCAGCAAGGCCCCCAGG